TTTTACAGATAAGGTAAAAGCCCCAGTATATGATCATGTACCAGTATATGATCACTCCATGTATTTGTATACCTATATTTGTGAATATAGATATACAAATACATGGGGTGATCATATACTGGTACATGATCATATACTGGGGCTTTTACCTTATTAATTTTTAATAAGATTCGAAAAAAAGTGATTTTCCTGCAGACTCGAAATTTTGATTTCGTTTCCATAAAAGTAAACTTTGGCCAAAAAAACTATTTTTACTTTCAGTGAAAAAAAAAAAAATGTGATATTTAAAACTAATACCCAACAATCGTATCGACTGGTGATATTTTTACAAGAAAATTTATAAAAGTCTTCAATTCCCGGAACAGTCAACGATAAACTTTTTTCTTGCTAATCTGTCGCGTTATGACTGCAAAAAACTGTTTAATCTCACATGCAGGATTCTGGCTTTAAGAGAAACCCTCGTCTAGAAAACATGATAAACACTTGAATACGCCTCGATTTCTTACGTTTCTTTCTTTTCTTTTTTGTATCTCGGTCAACTAATTAATTCAATTTATCTATTTAGTCAATTTGCATGCTTAAACCTAAATTTGATTCCCAATTTAATTTATTAATTTAATTTATTTTATTGTATTTGATATTTTTATAAAATGAACACGTGAATATTAAAATAAAATTAAAACAAATTGTGATACTGTATGTGATGAAATTCTTCACAAAAAAAAAAAAAATTATTTATTGCACCAAAATACTGTAAATATTGTAAAAATCTATTCCCCATTGCTATGGGACTCTGTACCCTTTCTGCAATAAAATTTATATTATTATTATTAAAAGTCTTCAATTCTAATCCAATTTAATAATTAAATTATGGAAAAAAATTTAGTATAATAAGAAATATGAATGTAAAAAAAATCAAATTGGGATTACATGTTTAATTAAATTTTAATCTTAAATTATTCCTTCATAGACATTCCGATCAAGAAACGTATTGATTAGGGTGATCATGATAGTTATACAGTAATGTGTCGGGAGGCTGATCAAAATCGCTCTTGTGCAAATGATTGACGGGATGATTGAACATGCTACAGGAGCAAACATCAACTGTTAACTCAAAAGCTGATAATATACATCAAATATCACACGATATTAAATTCACGTGCTCAATTACTCATGAAAGAGGGAATTATTTTCAATCGCTTGTCGTTATTGATTATTAATAATTCGGGACTTGAATACAAGTGTATAAAATAAAATCCCGTGAAATATTATAAAAAATATATAATAAAACTACATTGCCATTCTGTAATAATAATGTGGATAAAGTAAATGGATTTAATCTTCTTTTTTATCGTTAGTCGAAAGTCTTGGTTACACGACTGGCTCGTAAATTCAGTGGCTTGATCAAGACAAGAATTTCATTGGGTTTTCGGTTTCACTCCTTTTCCTCGTTTCTATTTTCACCTTTAAGTCGGTCGTTATAGTTAACAATGACGATTTGTCTCGCGATTGAAAACATGCCGACTAAATTTTTTACTCATCGTCCGCCGATGGTCATTCTGAAAAAAAAAAAAAAAAAAAAAAAAACACTTTAGATTCGATCATTTTCGTGGCATGATCAATGCAGTAGAAATTACGAATAAACTTCATAAAGTAACTTTTTCTTCAAATACTCAAGTTTATCATATTTAATGATCTTATCGGCATTAATTGGCTGTAATATCTAACCAAAAGTTGTAAAACAGAAAAACTTATAGATCAATTAAAAACAAAGTATTATTTATTTGACATAAAACACGTAAAAAAGTATAAATTCAAACTCAATTGTATTTGAAAGCAGTATAAAATAAACAGCTATTCAAAAACATCTTAGGACCTCAACAGCGCATTCAGTAACCTTAACTTTTTGTGAATTCTAGACTCAAATATAACCTCACTTGTTAAAGTGGAGATGCTGAATTTGTGAGACGCGGGTTTTACCATCAAGAAAGCACTCGAGCTTGCAATGTAAAGTGTCTCAGCATCTGAAATATATAGCCGTGAACTATGTAACAACCTTCCACTAAGAACACTACACATTCTTTGAAACCGGATGCGAGAGATACACATTCAACAATTTAGTCACTTATTTCATGACACGTTGTTGTTAACTATATATATACTATTTATGTAAAAGCAGACGTGTGCTTTTGCTGTACATTTTAAATAATGTGAAGAAAATTTTCTGACATGGCCTACTCTCATAAGTGGCTATAGATATGGTCATATATTTCATTATCAAGCTTTATATATGAGTAAAAAATGATTTAATAGAATTTTTTTAATTTAGATTTTTTCTAGAAATATATACGTCAATTAATATGACATATTAAACAAGAATTGGTTTAGTAGTTGATTAAACTAAAAACTAATTGCATATAAACTATTTAAAAAATTAAAAAATCATTTTTGTTTTATAAATTATTACCGGCGCTCTTCGTCGGAGATTTTAAACACTATCTTTGGTCGAAAAATTATAAATGGGCATATATGACCATATCAGGCCTGATGTGGGCGTTTTGTCATTTCAGAACATGTCAACCCATATGCATCCTGATATACCCTTTTATGGCCAATTGTTATATCAAGTCATATCAGAAAATTTTTTGACATGTTTAGATTCAGTTTTAATTACCATATTATAATAACTATTTATTCAATCAACTTTCAAAGTGATTGGTGTAATAAAATGAGGCTATATTTTGCTGTAATATTTATATTTATTAAAGAAATTAATTAACATGCATAAAAATTATTTGTGGTTATAAATATCAAGAATTGATAAGTAAATCATAGTACAGATCATCATAGGGTATAACGGTCGATAATTGTGCTGTTGATTCCATTTATGCTTCCTTTGGAGCCTCTGTTTTTGAACCTCCTAATGGATTAAGGCTGCCTAAAGTTCCACGAACTTCGCCCAACCCTTTTTGAACAGCATCTTTTGCTTGTCTAACAGCGCTTTGAATATATTCACTTCCTTGTTTCACTGCATCTGCCGCTGCGTTTGATGGTCCATCGGCAGCGGGTTTTTCTTCGTCACTCCGGACCAACTAGAAATGAAAGTAATTTTTAATTAATTACAAAAATTTTCATTCAATTTAATACGAATCTCATTCAAAAATTAAATTTGTTATTCATCGATTTACAGGGTATAGAAAAGTTATTCAAATATTAAAAAACATATTTATATTTTGAAAATTTGAAATTATTATAATTAGTTAGTTCGTAATCGTAATTATTTCTTCATACCAATTTCAATAGTAATATGATTGGAAAAAAAATTTATTCATGAATAATTCAACTTTGTTTTAAGAATTATTTAATTGAAAAATAAATTTCTTAGTGAAGTTAATCAATAAATGTTTGTCTTAAAAAAAAAAAAAAAAAAAACTAATTGAAGTTCTTTCGTCCAAAATTTTTTTCAACTTTTCTTTTTTATATGTATTTTTATCAAAAAAAAGACAGGAAAATGAATTCAGTACTATAAATTTTTTTTTTTAATATAAATTTCATCATTATTGTATTTTTATTTTTTTTTTTTTTTATTAAAGACCTTTCAAGTGCCAAAAACCATTCCAGTATTAAGAATCGGAAAAATTTTGAACAAAAAATTGCATAATGATATTAAAATAACTCTTATTTATGTAATAAATAGTTTCTTTTTCTCTAATTCTAAGACTATTATTAAAAGTATATTCTTTTATGACAACTTCCTAAAAAGTTTGGCATTGCAGAGATATCTAGCTCTAAATTGCAGTTGTGTGCTCAGTAGAAATGACCTTTAGTATCCACGCTTATCATTAATGTATTTTTTACCGTATGGATTTTCATAATTTCTTTTGATGCGTACACTGCAAGTACGATCGTTTATTTAATACTGTTAAATGTTTACTTTAAAAAAAACATCAATCCAGAAAAACTTTAATATTTTTCTGTTCAAAAAAGGATTATGTTTGCTCACAATTCCATTGGACTTAGCATACTAAAAACAATTGTTTAAAAAATAGTACAACAATAAAATTCTCTTCGACCAATATTTTTGTTTATCGAAAAAATTTATTTTTCATGGTAAAGTTATAGTAAAATTTTTTACGACATGACAAAGATTAATATTCTCCCATAACTTTTTGAAATAATTGATCGTAAAGAAAATTTCAAGCATGAAACCTAGATTCAAAAATTTTACGTGATCAAAAATGAATTCTTCGTTCCATAATTTTTTTTCGTACGCTCAATAATTCGACAATAATTTTAGCTCAAGGCATTTAGAAATATTTCTCGTAAATTGATGAATAAATAATTAAATTCTTAAAAATACGGTTTACATCTTTCTAATACTGAGAAATTAAAAAAAATAATTCAACTTACTTGCAACAAAGCAAAAGCAATGAAGAGGATGATGATACTCTTGTTCATCTTGGAAGATTTAATTTTTTTATTTGGTTGACTTGATGAAAACAAACTTCGAGTCACTGATGCCAATAGCAACTTTTAGTAGCTTTTTATACTTAAACTTTAGTTAACACAGTGGAAGCCGTACGTGACCGATAATTAGTGCATGCATATCTCTTAATTCAAAAATCAAAATTTAAATTTTCGCATTCTTGCTCGTATAGCACTTAGGCATCCTTTGTTATTTAAAAAACGCGGAAGCAGTATATTTAATATTAATATTTTAGCAGGTTTACCTCATAATATTGAATTTTTTATCACGCTATTATTTCTTATCTGTTAAACGTGCACAAGTGAGAAATGATACTATCACATTTTTCTCGTTTCACGTCAACTTATTCGATAAATCATCGTCTTCCTCGTTTATCTTCTGCAGCAGCGACAATTGAGAAGGAATTCATCTGATTGGTTCTGAGCATGAAAAATCAATCAGTCACGTATTACCTTGAAGAGTTATTTTCGGTAATTTAATTCTAAGAAAAAATACTCGTCTTTTCATGTTTTCCGTATTCATAAATACATAAATCAATGTCAATGATATATATGGTATTTCACATTTTTTCTTTTTTTATAAATGAGAATTTTATGAGCCTTCAACGTTGATTTGCTGTGATTATTAATTATTACCCAGAAAATTGCATAACTTTACTTTACCAGAAAAACAAACTTTAGTAAAATTTAATTAGTTTATTGTTCACATTTTTTATCGTCCAAAAATCATATCTACTCTATGTCAGCTAAACATTGTCGTGATTTACAGCCAATGGTCCATAAATAAGGTTCCAATCGAAAATTTCTGGCAATGAAATCATAAATACTAATACTGCTAAAATTATTGACAACTTGAATGAAATTTCTGACTGCTATATTTTTTTTCTATTTTTTTGATAAAAAAAAATTCTGTATGTATGAAATTACGTGGTTTAATTGTGAAAAATTTAACAAAGCTACGAAATTTTTAAAAATCCATGAGATAAAAAAATCCAGAAAAATTTTAATCTACTTTAATATTTCATTGAAAAATTTTATAGTTGAAATTTTAAGATCTTCACTAAAAAAAAATTTTTGTTGTCATAAAAATAATCAGGAATACGCAGTAATTTAATTATGACAATAAAATGATATTGGTTTATTAGTGCAATAAAATCGTTGGCACGCAAAATCGTGAAGCTATGTCCACATTTTTTAAAAAATTAAATAATGTTGTGAAGCGGGAAAAGACAGGAGTTACGGTAATTAGTATTACGTGAAGCGTTCCAACATTCACGTAACAGGATAATTGGGGGAGAAAGGGATTGAGAAAGAAAAGGACCTTATTAATGAGACTTTATAGAATATACGAGAAAAAATTCAGATAACTCGGACTAGGACTTGAATTCAGAACCTTCCGATGACAGCTACTCACAGAGTAGATCAAGGTTTGCACCATTTAAAAGAGCTTGACCAAACTTAGATTTTGAATACAATTTGGACCGGTAGATTTTGAGAAATCTCAAAAAAACCACGATAAAAAATTTTTTTAAATGTGGTTTTTTTTTGGACTAACTTTTAAACGACTTTACCGATCGATTTCAGAAACTAATCAGCTCTTAACATTAAAAAACCACGTCAATCGCCGCCGGGCTGGTCAATATCGGTTGAATTTTTCGTGAGATATCGTTACCGAAAAAAAAAAAAATGGAAAAAAGTGATTTTCTCCAATTTCTCCAAAATTTTCGGTCTGATCAATTTGTGGTCAAAAGTAAATCATTGGATTCAAAAAACTACGTCGAATGCTGCCAACCGCGTGAAAATCGGTTAATTCAGTCAAAAGTAGAACGTCAGTTCTAGGGCCGAATTTCTTCAATAAATAAATAAATAAATAAATAAAAGTAATTCCAGGTTGAAAATTTAAAGAATATTGTTTTATTAAACTTCTATCAGACTTTTGAGCGGGAAGAGCTCAAAAGCATAGAACAGCCAACTCTTTGAGGTCGAAGAGCTCAAAATAACACATAAATTATATTTTTGAGCTCAAAAAATGTCATTAGTGCAATTTTAATTTTAACCTTTCCGTTTTCCTAATTTTTTCCAACTATGAAAATTATATGAAACTTTGAAAAGGCACAAATTCAGGTCAAAAACTTTTTTATGATATTCTATGTACTACATTTAACTAAGAAAATCTATTTTATCGTATAAATATGCCGGAGAAAAAATTTCTTATATTCTTAATTGTTTAGATGAAAAACAGTATCTAGAAAATATAACTGCAATTAAAAATTTATTTCTTTTGTCGAAAGTAGTTATAAATTCAAGTTAACTGAGACCCAATTACAGTATTCTACTAATTGTCAGAGAAAATTATAGTAACCGTTTCTAGTTAATTCATTAAATTTCATCCAATTTAGTTATAGGAATAATTACTGGGAATTATTGGATCTACACCAATTTTTTCTGAGAAAAGTTTAAATAATCCTATTAACAATTTTTATTATTATGGTAACAGTAACGTGTCTTAAACATTCTAATAAAGTTGCTTATAATGTTCACCAACGACAGCTAACTATCAAACATTTATTCTTATAGTACTGAATGTAATTTTATGTGTAAATACTTAAAAATTGGGAAAACTAAAAAAATTAAATAAAATAACTCTTTGTTTTCAGGATTTCGTGCGAATGATAAAAATATTAATGGAGCAGAAAAATTTGCTGTTGATAGTTATTCATGCTTAAAAAATAGTCATATAGATGAATAAAAATAAATGAGCGATGATAAAGTATTGAGTAGAACAATGATACGCAAAAAGCATTCACTGAATTTTTATGAGTGTACAATGCCTACAATTTTAAAGGTGTTGGCGCGGATGATGATGATAATTTGACGTGAAAATTAGGGGAGAAACCACAATAAAATGTAATCTATGGCCATAATAGAAACTTCATGAAACTAAAGATATAGACAACGCTCTACAGTTGGCTTACTGCATCACCGTATTATCCCACACTTTTCACTAATGTACCATGTGGTTTCCTGAAATGGCAGTTTTACCCGAAAAATATTTAAAATTCTGTTGTTCAGAGCACGGATTATGCATTAAAAACTCGATCAAAAATACCCTGCACTTTAAACTGTACGGTTGAAGTCTGTTATTCAGAAAAATATTACATTTTTTTCCAGGCTAATGATTTTATGATAAAATTTTTTTTACTTTTTATTTATAAATATTTTGTTTAAAAAAAATTATTCGAATTTGAATAACGAAAGATTAAAATAATTAAGTATCCCCAAAAAATACAAACTGAGGTATTTGGATTCACAGCGTATCAGATTGATCATTGAAAGGTGTTAAAATGATGAAAAAAAAAAAAAAAAAAATATCTCGGGTCCAGACAATAGTTGTTCATTGGAGGAGAGCTTGAGATCCAGAATAAAACTTTAAAAAATAATTTATCTTGTTTGATTTTATATTTTTTGGATTGAAAATTAATTCTTTATAATTACTTATTGGTATATATTGTGGTTCTCTTTCATGATAGTTTTAGTATACGATAGATACTTCACCCCAGAAATAATAATAACGTTGTTATCAGAAAATTAAAAAAGATTTATCTAATTTTTTTCTTGTTTTCTCCAACGATCTTCATTTATCTCGGAGCTTTCATTGCATGTACTTTCTCGAAAGTCCATTATAAAGACACCCATCAATGACGTTAAAGGAACATAGACAAATGAAGACTTTGTGCAAGTAAAAAGCGAACGACAAAAAATTATCAAACAGCAGAATAGTAAGGAATATAAAGTGTTTTATTAAACAGACAGCCAGTCCGTATCTTAAATTCAAGTCACATGCCATTTATCTATATTTTTTTGCCATATTTTTACATACTCTATTTTTTTCTAAATTATCTTTCTTTGATAATTCTAATTATTAAAACATTACCCTTTCTTTTAAGTATCTAATGATTAAATTTCAGAATGTGAGCAAAAATTTTATTGATATTTCTATTTACTTTCGATTATTTTATTAAGTAAAATTCTTTAGTCCATATTGTGTACAGCACGTAATCAGTAACGAATTCTCTTAAAAGACAAAAGAAATTCCGCAATATAGAAGTTTATAAAAAATAAATATAAATAGTATCTGTATTTATCTGTGTTTATAACAATGTTTTACATTGTCGCTTAGTTTACTCAGTAAATTTCTATTGAAATGGGGAAGAAAAATTCTTTAACATTGAGACCTCGAAACTATCGCCATCGGACGGAAACTCCGGCAACTGCTTACCCAAAGACGCTGAATGGTTCAAATCTATGCTTCAGTACATGATAAAAATAAATGTATACAATAGTTATTTATTATCGTATTGTTAAAATTATTGTTCATAGTTTATTAAGAAAACAAAAATTTTTTTAAAGATATTAAATCATCATAAAATCAGAATTTAAAATAAACTGTTAGTATTTTTCAAAACTAATCTTAACTTGATGAGATTTCTATACTTTTTTATACAAATAAGAAGCATATATATATTATATAGATTATACATTGTGATGTAACATATTCACTGATCTCTACGTAATTCTCTTTATCATTATATAGAGATCAGTGTATATATTGCATATTGTATATAAATTCATATTATATATCATAGACGCAAATGAAGCGGAAACGAGTCATAACAGTCAATGTTGTAAGGAAATATCATTTCAAAGAAATTTTTATGTGAAGAATAAAACTCGCTCATATGAAACGCAACGTCTCAAAAGCTCTCTAAAATTACTGTCCTCAAAAATCGTATTTTCATCCTGACATAAAAGAAAAAAAATTAATCGATTGCTTTAAAATTTTTTAGATAAAAAATTACTCTAGAAAATCAATCAATTTAAAGCACACAAATGAGAAAATTAATCTAACGTTTATGAAGGAGCGTAGCAGCTAAAGGATAAAAAAATCTACCGCGAAATTCGAAATTCACGTGGATATCCTGCGCAATAATGACTGGAACACGTGTAACGTGAAAAGCTATCTA